ATATACTTTAGACAGTAGTTTAGGGGGTTTGAGATTGCAGAAGTCTAAAACCCTTGGCGGGGTTTGTAATTCTATTTTATTGAGCTTAAATTTTTGTTTGACTACAGATTTGATTTGGTGGTATTCTAAAAAGCTATTCTTTTCTATTCCAAATTGGGAGACTATTCTATTAAATGGGATGAAGTCCAATCCTTCATATATGTTTTCCAGGTATAGGATTCCTTTATTTTTCCAGTCCAGAAGGTTCATCATTTTATTATTTTGCAAAATATCAGGATTATTCCAGATAGGTGTGCGTCTGCATGGTACTAGTGAAGACTCTGTCATTTTAAGATACTCCCACCATGCTGTCAGAGAAGTGCTGATACTAATACTTTTGAAGCCTTCATGTTTTCTTACGCTTGAGCTAATAAATGGTAAGTCTGAAAGCTCTATCGTATTGCAAAGTGTCTGTTCTATATCTAACCAGGACTCGTCTAATGGGTTATCTTGCAACCATCTTGGTATATATTGCAGCCTGTTGGCTAAAAAATAATAATAAAAGTTGGGTAGATCCAGTCCTCCTCTGTCTTTGCTCTTCTGAAGCGTTTTTAAGCTAATTCGTGGAGGTTTATCCTGCCAGAGGAATTTGGTAATTGAGGAGTCCAGAGATCTAAACCAGTCAGCTGGTGGTTTGTTTGGGATCATTGAAAATAAGTAATTTATTCTGGGTAAGACCATCATTTTAATTGTAGCAACTCTTCCCATCAGTGATATTGGTAAGGATTTCCATCTAGCAAGATCATCCTCCACTTTCTTTAAAAGTGGGATGTAGTTTAATTTGGTTAGATCTGCTAACTTGGGAGAAACATTAATTCCCAGGTATGTGATATTACCTGACTCCAGTTGAGTATTAAGTAAATTGACAAAAGAGAAATTAATTGGTAGAACTGTTGATTTTAACCAGTTTATAGAGTAATCTGAAACTTTTGAAAAAGAGTTTATCAGTTCTATTGAATGAGACAGAGACGATTGAGAATTCTGGAGGAAGAGTAAAACATCATCTGCATAAAGACTGATCTTATGTTCTATTTTATTACACTTTATCCCTTTAATACCTGTTGTTTGCCTAATTGCTGCTGCTAGTGGTTCGATAAAGATAGCAAACAGTGAGGGGGAGAGTGGGCATCCCTGCCTGGTCCCCCTCTGAAGACAGAAGCTAGCTGATATTTGGTCGTTCGTCCTAACACGTGCAATTGGCGAACTGTATAATGTTTGTAGCCAGTTTATGAAGAAGTTCCCAAAACCAAATTTATGTAAAGTTGCAAACAAGAACTTCCAGTTAACTCTATCAAAAGCCTTTTCTGCATCTAGAGATAATATACTAGTTTCTATGTTTCTACTGTAAGAGAAATCTATCAAATTAAGTAATCTACGCGAATTAGTGGACGACTGTCTACCCTTTATGAAACCAGTTTGGTCAGGGTGTATTAAGAAGGGGGTTACCTTCTCTAATCTTTTTGCCAGGGCTTTACAAATTATTTTGAGATCAACATTAATAAGAGAAATTGGGCGATAGCTGGTTGGAAATGCTGGGTCTTTGCCTGGTTTTAACAAGAGACTAATATTGGCTGAGTTCATGTTTGGCTGTAATCTGCCGCTCTCTTCGATTTCCCTCACCATTCTGAAAAATGTTGGAGCCAAAATGGTCCAGAATTCTTTGTAGAACTCTGCTGGGAACCCGTCTGGACCTGGAGCTTTCCCATTAGTCATGGATTTAAGGGCTTCCTGGAGCTCTGCTGATGTTAGTGGCGAGTCCAGGACTGCAACTTGGCTGTCTGTTAATTTAGGAAGTGTTATCCTATCAAGGAACTCATCGATCTCGTCATCTGATGGGTTTATCTGTGGTGAGTACAAAGTTTGGTAAAAGTCTCTGAAAGTGTTGTTTATTCTTTCAGGGTCATAAACTATATTCCCAGTTGAGTCTTTAACAGCAGATATGGTAGTTTTCTCTTTATTAATTTTTAATTGGCTGGCCAGAAATTTACCGGATTTATTACTATGTTCAAAGTTTTCTATTCGTAGTCTTTGTGCTAAAAATTGTGTTTTTTTGTCAATAATTCCATGAAGTTCTAATTTAGCTTTACGTAATTTGCTCAGTAACTCTTCTTCTGTGGATGTCTCTAAAGACTTAATGATTTCTTCTAACTCCTGGATACGTTTATTTTCTGTTTTTTTCTTATGTGATGAGAAAGAGATTATTTTACCTCTCATCACTGCCTTTCCTGCCTCCCAGAGAATAGATGCTGATGTTCCAGGCAGGTCATTATGTTCTAAATATAAAGCCCACTCCTTTTTAAAAAATTCTATAAAACCTTCATCTTTAAGCAGTGATGTATTAAACCTCCAGTTTTTGCTTGGTGGGATTGCTTTCTTGTTTACTAGAGTTAAAGAAACCGGAGCATGGTCGCTGACAACAATAGGGTGTATCTCAGTGTCTGAAATGTCAGCCAACAATGAGCTGCTGACTAGAAAATAATCCAAACGTGAATGAGAGTGATGGACGTGTGAGAAAAAAGTATACTCTCTACGGTTAGGATGAAGAGATCGCCATGCATCACAAAGCCCATAATCACTCATGTACTGTTTAACTATATAAGTAGATTGCCAATTGCGCCGAGTCCCAGCTGTACTGAGCCTGTCTAAGGAATGCATCCAAAGATTAAAATCACCTCCAAGTATAAGTGGACAGTCCAAGTGTTCGGAGAGTACAGAGAAAAAATTATGAAAGAATGGAGGGTCATCAATATTTGGACAGTATATGCTCACAATACATAAGCGTTGGTTCTGTATAGTTATTTTTAACATTATAAATCTACCTTCTGGATCAGAAACTGTGTCCAGTACTGTGAAATTGATGTTTTTGTGTATTAAAATAGCTACCCCTCTTTGCCTAGAGTTATAGCAGGCAGAGAACATGCTGGGAAACTCAGGTGTTTTAAGTTCATCTGCCGATGTGGCAGATCTATGAGTCTCCTGTAATAATATTACGTCTGCTTGCATTCTTTTTAACTGATCAAAAATCTTTAATCTTTTATCTCTTGAGCCAGTTCCATGTACGTTCCATGAGACAAATCTTAGTGCACCCATAGATGTGTGTGTGAGTAGCTAAAATATGACGCCTTCATGTGAATAAGATGGAATAAGTATCTAAATGTATAAAATAGTATGTTAATAAATAACAGAAAAGTAAATAATATAATAAGTATAATTTGAGTTTGGAAGCGAGCGGCAGCGGAAAGCGGGGGCGGAGCGGAGATAGTGGAATTTTGGGGTTAGGCGCACCTAAAAGTCTTATTTTAGCGTACATTTTCTCCAAAATGTACGCTGGGCCCTATGGTGCGGTGCACCTATTGTGTTATTGTGAGACACGACCGTAGTAGAAGACAAGGGGCGTGGCGTGAACGTACGGACGTGAGCGAAGACGGACCTGTGGATCTGCCACATCGTCATCAACATCCTCGCTATTTGCCTCAGACTCCGGCTGTGAGTCTCTGTCCACTTCCTCTGCTTCCAGTTCAAAAAACAGCCATACTATCTGACCTGCCTGGTGGGCATTTATCCTTCTCATCATCCTTTATATAAGCCTAATAAAAGCCTACTAAACTGCAGCGACAATATATCTGTACGGATCGCTCCAAAATATGAAGTTTACCGTCAATATCTGTCTAATTGTTTGTTGTTACTCCGTTTGCGTCACTCCTTTCCCTGCGAAGCGGCTCCTTTTTGCGCACATCTCGTTACTCGTGCGGCCTTCCTCTCTCTCTCAGCTACATAATGATGCTTTTTATCAATTGAACATGTGAGACTTCCACCAACAGCAAGAGGATCTCATGTTTTTGTGGGTCTTTATGTTCACAAGCTCATTCCCTCTCATGGATTACTAAACTGTTGTTTTGACAAGTTGTCAGATTGTCTAAAAAGAGGTCATTTTTTAGTTTAGTATAACTCCAATTTTAGGTTGCTTATTAACAAAATTTTAAAACTGGGGTGTAGTTTATAATCTCCTTTTTAAAGCTGAGTTGAAACCGAAACTCAGGGAGGCGGAGTCTTGCTGCTACAGCATCCCAAATCAGACCTGTTCAAAAGACGCGGATACGCGTCCGTGGACCCCAGAGGGTTAATAAAACAATTCAAATCACACTATTTTCTTAGGCCTATTAATAACACACATATGATTTTGTTCATGTGGAAAGTTTATGTGGTTAAATCCACCAACTACCGGTAAACACATTCTGAACTTCAACACAGCGCATAAGCGCTTGAAGCGGCACTGCGAGCAGCTGCGACCCAAAAAGTACCAGAACCGCTCACGGCGCATGCGCCACCATGCATCAACACTGCTCGCCCGCTATTTCCCTAATAACACACGCTGTTCGTTTTTACTTCTACACGTTTTTTTTTACTCACAAAGATTGTCAAGAAAGCGTGTTTGTCGTGTTCATGTCAAATTAAACTGATCACAAAACACAGATTTACTTTCTTTATTTCGTTTTCCTCATCCAACCCCCATAAATCCCTGTGTGTCCTCCTGCAGCACTCCCGGTGTACGCCTGGCTTTAGTAGGAGGAGACCCGCGATTATCGCTTTGTCGCGCATGTCTCATTGAAAATGAATGGAGGAGAGGCGAAGTTGCCTCCCGTGTGTCGAGCCCATTAGAAGAGCACGAGCCGTCAGCGCACGCAATGAGGAAGTGCACGTGCGCTCTAAACCAGGTAAACACCTGCCGGTGTAACTCTGTTAATGCCTTTTTCTCCCTCTCTGAACTCTCCTTGTGTAATCCCCTCTTCATCTACTGAAATGAGCGCCGTCATGGCCGCTCTCGTGGTCTGCCTGTATCTGTCCTGTCTATATGTGTGTGCGTAATCTTGGTCAGGCTGTACTGTGGAGTCAAGTTCCTATGCTCTGGATCGCTGGATCGCTGGCAATAAAATTCATTCTGATCCGGATTCTACACTCACACACCCACACACACACACGCTCGCACACAGACACACACACACACACACACACAGATTCTCTTGGCAGTTGCCTTGAGCTTCTGCCCCTGGTTACAATCTGGTGACTTGTCTGCTTAATAGTAGGGCTGCAGCTATCGAATATTTTAGTAATCGAGTATTCTATCGAATATCCGGATCGATTAATCGAGTAATCGAATAAAACATACTTTTGCTAAATTAAGGTTCAATTATAAATATACAATATAAAAAAGACAGACTTAATAATGAGAACAACAAATTTAAATGTTATGTATAAATGACATTTTATTAATGTGTTTGTATAATGGAAAATAGTAATTGTTTCTTTAGAAAAATCAGAGGACTAAAATTACTTCCACCTTAACATTTGAGATGAAAACACAAATATAAATAATATTACTTTAAACTTAACATTCCCTGAGACAGTTACATAAAAAAATAAAAATATTCTTTGAATAACAAAAAAGCAAGTTATCACTCTTAGTATCAAAAAGAATGTGCAATAAATTGTGCCGTTAACAGGGTCCTTCAAATGTGCAACTTTACATTCAGAACTGACGTAAGACAGTAACTTGGCCCACAAGTCCTACTACTGTAAACAAGGATTTTAAACTGTCCTCAAGAGACTGCCCGGGGAGTGGAAGTACAATCCATCCAAGGAGCGTGTGGTTGCAGTGAAGGAAGGTGAGCATATCTACATGCTCAGGGCTGAGGCTTGCCCTCTTCTTTGACACGATATTACCTGCTGCGGAAAACAACCGCTCGGATGGGGTGGATGTAGCTGGAATGCAGAGCAGGGAGTTTGCCAGCTTCGCCAATGTTGGAAAGCGTTGTTCATTAGCTTTCCACCAGATCAGAGGATCATCCTTCTTTGGAAGGGACTGTTCTCCGAAATATGCCAAGACCTGTGACAGTTGGGGGAAAAAAGAACAAACAAACTAAATCTAAAAATGTCTTTGGCTTATTCAACATTATGAAATATTCATTTTCTGTTCTAGTAGAACATTTGAACTGCCTTATAGGAAATTGTTACCAAAATAAAAGGGGCAAAAAAACAAAGCATTATTTATGTTTACCTCGTTCTGTATAGCTTCATTTGACAGCTGTTCTTCATCTTGCTCTTCATCACTGCTGGTGGAGTCCGAGTCAAGGAAGGATGTGGTCATCTTGTCTTTATGTGCTGTAGACGGAGCACCCTCTGCTGTGCTGGATGCTTCATTTCCACATCCAGTAGGCCTCAGTTGCTGCTCGACAGCAAGTGCCAAGGTTTGCAATGCGTTTTTGACTCCAAATGCTTGGTCAGCAGGAAAGAATTTGAGTTTTTGAAACCTGGGATCCAGAGAAGCAGCAAGCAGTGTGATGTTTGGAGACTCAGGTTTGAACTTACCCAAGTCTTTCCATCTTGTTGTGACCTGTTCTTTTGCATGAGTCTGGAATGACACCACAGGTGGTGACTCGAGATTCTGACTCTGGAGTGACTTCTTAATTTTGTCAACAACATGTGGAAGTGCAGAAAGCGTAACATATTGCTCTCCACTCATAAAAACTGTGGCAGAGTGGAAGGGCTCAAGGACCTGGTTGAGCTCCTCAGTCAGGCTCCACTGGTCGGGTTTGAGATCCAGGTAATGTTTCCCTCTTTGGGTCACTTCTGGGTCAGACAGTGTAGCAGTCACTGGCCATCTTTGTTCTTGCAGCCTTGACAACATGGCATAGGTGCTGTTCCAGCGTGTGCAGACCTCCTGCAACAGCATGTTTTCTTTGGTCCCCATGTGCCTCTGCTTGACCTCAACCAAGTTGAGGGTGTGTCCTGCACGTGTCACTGGCGCCCATCCATGCTTTGCATGCAAAATCTTTGTTGCAGCTACAACATTAGCACCATTGTCATGTACAACAGCCTTGATTTTCTCTGGTGGAATGCTGAATTTGGCAATTACCTCCTCAATCCAATCTGCAATGTCTGCAGCTGTGTGCCTCTCCTCCAAAGGCATAGTGGTAAGACAATGAGACACAATTTTCCAGTTTTCTAGGTAGTGGCACGTTACCCCCATGTAGGCCTCTGTTGCCACACTTGTCCAGATATCAGCAGTAAGTGCTATGGTGTCAGTCTCTTGCAGGGCTTTCTTCATCTTGTTTTTGATGTCTTCATATTTTTCTTCCAACCGCTTTGTGAAGAAGGTCCGAGATGGAAGAGCATAATTTGGCTGGAAAGCAGCAATCATGGCTGTGAAGCCAGCATCCTCCACCATGCTCAGCAGGCGCATGTCTGTAACCGGCATATTTAGAATGTGTTCTGTCAGTACGGCTGCTTGTGCTGGGGTGCAGGCAGGTGCTTTCAGCAGAAATCTATCCAGGACAGGTTGTGATGTTTTACTGAAAAAAAGGCAAAAAATAAATAAAGTGAAGTAAAACATTCCTAAATTGCAATTAGGGTTTGGTACATGTCCATAGAAGGCTATGCTGGGGAATTTTTGAAATATTTAAAATTAGAAACTGTGCACAAGAAATAGGGGAATTCTTAACTGGAATTTGGGGATAATTTTAACAAACTATCATTCAAACAAAGGTTTTTTTAATCGTAAACCAATTTTTTAAATATACATTTTAACAGATGTATTTTAAAGCAGCACTTTAAAACTAACTTATAACAAATAAATGTATTTTATTGACACTACATTTGAGTCAACATTTACATCCTGAAATAAAAGTTTATTTACCTGGTCTCGGCACGTCCACTCATGCCCTCAGTCGGGTGCTTTCGTAAGAGGTGCTGCAGCATGGAAGAAGTGCTGTTGTGGTATGCTAGCTCCACCTTGCAATGCTTGCATACAACGACGTTTTCCTTGCCTTTTAACGTAAAGTGATCCCACACCTTGGATAACTTCTGTCGCTTCCTATATCCCTCGTTTTGGTCTTGCTTGTTTTCATTTATTTCCGTGGCGTCTGCCGTTGTCTGCTGTCCAGCTGAAAAGACAAAAAGACCGCTGCGCCTGCGCGCTGTGCAGTGGAGTGCATGGCACGTATAATCTGTGACGTAACCGCGTTGTGCAACACAAAGAATCCGTGCGAAACGCCAGTTTTTTTCAGCTATGGTCTATTTAACGAGTCCTCGAGGCAGCGGAAAATCCTCGAATATTTTTTGTCCTCGAATCATTCGAGTTACTCGAGGATTCGTTGCAGCCCTGCTTAATTGTCTCCTTTTCTCTCAGCTGCAGGTGTTGGGTTATTGATAACATCCCCAACACTGGCTAAGAAACTTTTACCAAAGTGGTCAGGTCCATACCTGGTCACTGAAAAACTCTCCGGTCGTGTATCAGATCAAGATCACCAAAAGTAACAAAGACCCCGTCTATGAGTGGGTCCACAGGAACCAAATCAAACCTCACAAGGGTTCCACTCATTTGGATGACAACACCACCCATAAATCTGATTACCCAACTCGAATCTCACCAAAAGGGGGGTGAATTTTCCATCAGCTCTCCCTCGGTTCGCTGTTTCAAGTCACACAAGTTCTGTTGAGTGTGTGTGTGTGTGCGTGTGCGTGTGCGTGCGCGTGTGTGTGTGTGTGTGTGCGTGCGTGTGTGTGTGTGCGTGTGCGTGTGTGTGTGTGTGTGTGCGCGTGCGTGTGTGCGTGTGTGTGTGTGTGTGTGTGCGTGTGTGTGTGTGTGTGTAGAATACATGTCTAAACATAACGTACTGACTTGGTTGAGGTCATGCGGCTGGTTTCTATAGATCTATGGCCGAGTTCATAACAGTTAAAAGTGAGGATCTCCACTAGCTGTTATGTTGAATCCAAATTCCATTTTCATTTGTTTTTCAGTTCCTAGAGATTCTAGAATTTGTACACATTTTTAACGGATTTAGGTTCATTTTTGATAGTACTTGACAATACTAACCACTACTTCCTTCTGTGGTACATTCACATATAAGTCTGATTACTAACACTGATTAACTTCTTGTGTTTATTCTTCTATTTTATTTCTAGTTCTTTTATGAATACATTTCTTTACATAAATATTTACGATAAACTGATTACCTTTGGTTTGGACATCTTTGTCTTCTACTTGCTGCTGATGAAGCTGTGAGAACAGAGGTTTCTCTTCATCATCCACACTCTTTATAGAAGCCAATGTGAATGGAAACCTGGCAGCATCAGTTTTCTCCTCCAAATGGAGCTGCTCTCCCTCCAGACTGGTCCACTTTTCTTCTTGTTCCTCCTTCATGTGGACGTGTTCTGGGTCTTTCTGGTCCTCACCTGCACTCTGTTCCTCAGGAGCTTCTTCTTTAACCAGCACCAGCTGTTGAACATCTGTAGGAAACACAGAAACATGATGTGAATTACCGATCGATAGAACTTCACATTCACACGTACTCTCACCTAAAGGATTATTAAGAACGCCTGTTCACCTTCTCCTTAATGCAATTTTCTAATCAACCAATCACATGGCAGTTGCATCAATGCGTTTAGGGGCGTGGTCCTGGTCAAGACCATCTCCTGAACTCCAGACTGAAGGTCAGAATGGGAAAGAAAGCTGATTTAAGCTATTTTGAGCGTGGCATGGTTGTTGGGCCGGTCTGAGTATTTCACAATCTGCTCAGTTACTGGGATTTTCACCCACAACCATTTCTAGGCAGTATGCGGCAGTCCTGTGGGCCAAATGCCTTGTTGATGCTAGAGGTCAGAGGAGAATGGGCCGACTGATTCACGCTGATAGAAGAGCAACTCTGACTGAAATAACCACTCGTTACAACCGAGGAACGCAGCAAAGCATTTGTGAAGCCACAACACGCACAACCTTGAGGCGGATGGGCTACAACTGCAGAAGACCCCACCGGGTACCACTCGTCTCCATTACAAATAGGAAAAAGAGGCTACAATTTGCACCAGCTCACCAAAACTAGACAGTTGAAGACTGGAAAAATGGTGCCTGGTCTGATGAGTCTCCATTTCTGTTGAGACATTCAAATGGTAAAGTCAGAATTTGGCGTAAACAGAATGAGAACATGGATCCTTCATGCCTTGTTACCACTGTGCAGGCAGGTGGTGGAGGTGTAATGGTGTGGGGGATGTTTTCTTTGCACACTTTAGGCCCCTTGGTGCCAACTGGGCCTGGTTTAAATGCAACTACACTCAGCTTCAAGGGCTTGGATGGGGGGTTAAACCACCAAATCGTACCCGAGCGCAGCCACAGCTGCAGCTCACTGCTCCTTCTGGAGATGGGTCAAATGTGGAGACGTAATTTGAGCAGTGTGTGATGAATATGATAATATTAATAATAATAGTACATTTAATTTGAGGGCACCTTTCTCAGACCCAAGGACACCTTACAAAGATAAAATAAAGAACATTAAAAACATAAATGGCAAATAAAAACATGTACTAACATTTACTCTAAGATTGCATATTAAAGGGAATATGCTAGGTTGAATAGGTAGGTTTTGATGTCTGATTTAAATAGCGTAAAGGAGTCACTATTACTAATGGGAGGAGGAAGTGAGTCCCAGAGTCGTGGGGCACAGCGACTGAAAGCTCTGCTCCCCATGGTGGTAAGGCAAGCTCGGGGTTGCACCAGATGGAGCGCCGATGAGGATCTAAAGCCTAAACTCCACTAGTACCTGCTTTGACTGACACCACTCTAATCTGTGCGGTAAGATTGTGTCTCCATTAGTACCTAGTGTCAGCTCTAGCTCAAATTTTCAGAATCATTCGCCGAGGAGTTGTTTTCGCTCAGAGTAGGTACCATGATGCATATTCAAAAGGCTGTCGATCACAAACTGGCTAGGGGGTGGAGTCACTGGTTGTCTCACTCTGGTCTAGCAGCTACCGGCGAACACGCAGACAATGTGGTAACTGATAAAAATTACAAATGAGCCCCATGAGCCTGGGTCCCAGGTGGACCTATACGCCATTTATTTCCGTCTACCTCCCGGCAGCCTTTGAGTTTGGACCTAATTCCCAGGCCCCCACCCAGATCCAACCAGGGGTGATGCAGCCACCAGGCAGCAACCTGTGACCACCGCTAACACCCCCCAAGACCCCACTCACAACCGCCAGTAGTCCACCCCCCGAGGCAACCCAAGCACCCCCAGAGCGGGGCAGCAGCCCACCATCTCCAGGGAAGCCCCCCACCCCCCCAGGGAACGTCTGGACTCTCCAAACTCAAACTCAGACCCTTCTCCCCATCAACCACAGCATCCTGCAAGACACTATCAACGTTTGCAAAGCACGATTTTGGTCTAGGTAGTTTAGATATCGAGCGAAGATTGTCAAAATTTTTGGGATCAGCACCTGGCTTTTTGAGGGTTGGCGTCATGCACTAGTTTTCTGTACAGGTGGAAAAACTCCAGTAGTTAGAGAGGAGTATATGACAGTAGATATAGGGACTAGTGAGGGAAGAAATGCTTTAACTAATACAGTGGGGAGGGGGTCCAACAGCCAGGTGGATGATTTAGATTCCCTAATGATTTTTGATATCTCGACTGTAGAGGGTAAAATGAAACATCAAAACAGCAAATAACATCCAAAATATGGTCTTTAGAGTGAGTGGGGAAATTAAATGTTGTTGAAATCCAAAACTGTCCAAACAGGAAGTAAAATTTTAATATTCATGTGGACATTGAAAATGATAGCCTCAATGTAGACTTTAGTAATATCTTAGACTCAATGGATTTTACTCAAAGAATACATAGCTCCACCCACTCCTGCCATCATACATTAGACCTTGTGCTGACTTATGGCATTATGTTTATTATGTGAAGTGCCTTGAAATGACTCTTGTCGTGATTTGGCGCTATATAAATAAAATTGAATTGAAGGATTATCGTTTTTACCCAAATGTATGTTAAAATCACCAGTGATTACCATATTCGGAGAGAGCATGGATAGGTGGATCAGGAGACAGTCAAACTTATTCAGAAAATCTTTTTTCAGTTTGGGTGGTCGGTAGACAGTACATATTATGGTTAACGTGGATCCTGGGAGTTGTATTGCATTGTATTTAAATGAATGGAAGAGTGGAGTGGAGACTTGCATGACTTTCCATTGCCTTTGGTGGATTATCTCACGCCCTCAATTCCTCCCTGAGTCACGGGGTTGACAGACATAAGTAAACCTCAGGCGGAGAGGAATTGTTGAGAGAAATGAAATTATTATTGGGATGTTGCCATGTTTCCGCGAGACAGAGGGAGTCCAATTAATGGTTAGAAAGGAGATCTTGGACGAGATGACCTTTCTCTGTAAGGTAGCGTGTTTGAACTCATAATCAGCCGACCTGGTTAGGTGGGCCAGCGTACTGTATTTGGCAGTCCGAGTCTTTGGATGAGGAGAACGTTGAGCTCTGGACCCTGGATCCTCGATGAATGTACCTGCTGCGCGGCTGGAAGACGATGTCTGGATGGAGGTGTAGGGCTGCTGGTGGAGGAACCAGCAGGTAGAACTGCAGCCCTAGGAGTTCATTAGCGGAGTAGAGTGGTCACCGGGCGGTGGACGATAGACAAAACAACCCAGGTAAGCACACACCACACCCGTATGCCCTGTATGGTTGGACTAGTGAGTTCAGGAACCACAGACAAGTAGTCGACTGTCTAGTCACCCGAAGTATAGGCTTCCAGTGGTTCAGATAAAAGTAAAAAAAAAAAAAAAAACATTAAACAGTGTAAGCTACAGCGAAGAACATAAACCAGACACGGTGAGCAGTAACAGCCAAACTCGCCAGCCTTCACTCAACCCAGAAAGTAAAGTATTTGCATCTGATTATCTCACAGAAGCCTCCCTACACACTCAGTGCAGTTACATGTGCCCTGACCGACATCGAAGTCAATCCAGGTGGATCTTATTGTAATAAGCTGGGAGTCTTTGTCCTAGTTTACACACGCATTAGAAAACCGGCCTCTCAAATAAAGTGTGTGCCACTCCGGTACAGTAGGTGGTAGGGCTGGGGGTAAACGATTATTTTTAAAACGATTATTCTGACGATTATTTTATCGAATAGTCGACTATTCTAATGACTATTTAGACAATTAATCTAATGATTATTTTTCTATTGCACAGTTAATAAAAACCAAAAAATCTCTAATAAATTCCTCAAAAAAATTGATAAATTCTTACTGTAAGAGAATAAACACTACAGGCCTTCCATTTTGTATAACACTGCGTTTATTGTGTTGGTTGGTTATGTTCTGGTGACGTGTAGAACTTGGGAGAGCAGGCTGCTGCCTGAGAGGTGGTTGGAGAAGGAGTGTCTCCATGCTGCTTTGTTTTGGTCACTTATGTGTGTGAGGCGAGTGGTGTTACGACTCTTCCTGGGGAGTTTGGCTCGTGTGCAAAAAGGAAGGGACAATAACGGGATTTAAAAGTTAAAATGATGATCAAGTTTATTTACAACTATAAAAAAAACATAAACCTTTCCATCCACAGGTTGGGAATAATAAAACTAATTCTGCCTGTGGGGAATTAAAACAAAAGTACAAATAAGTAGGGATGTCCCACTGGGCAAAGATTACTGGGTTCTGGACCAAAATAAGCATCTCCAAAGGTCCAAACTCTAAACTGGGCGGTTAAACCAAACTCAAGGTGATATCTTAAACGAAACCAAAAACCCACAACACTCTAAATGTAATAAAAGGGAGATCTGCACCACAAAAAAAGATGAACTCTAAACCAAAACGTAACAGCTTATCCAAACGCAAGAAGCTGTTAGCGAAGATGCTAACAGTAGCTTTACCAACGTTACGTTCAAGTTACCAAGTTTAAATAAACCAAAAACACCCAGCAGCAAACAGACCAGCAAGGAGGAGAGACTGCTACCACCAAAACAGCTCTGCTAATGTCTGAAAGAAGCTCCTTAATGAAGGGAGAAACGCTCCCGGTGATGTTCTACATCTGCGGTAGAGACGGAGCAGCGCATCTGACCCCGGAAGTTGTTTTCCGTTACCGGGAGACGAAGGCGGGCAAAACAGGAAAGGAATCTAGTAGCGGATGGACGTTGTTCCGGGTCTTCGGTATTTGGCGGAGATGTTAGTGAAGGCGGAGAAGAGGGCGAACTAGAGGAAAAACAGGCAGATTCCTCCTCTATTTACAAACTCCTGGGGATGCAACAAGTGGGCGCGGTGCGTCGACTTCCGGATCTGACGTCGACAAATTTTTAGAATCGAGCCGTCGACGTCATCGAGGCTTCGCTACAGCCCTAGTAGGTGGTGACACGCCCCTTTTCATTTTGGCATTCTTCCAGATAGCTTATAGCAACGCAAGCAGTAAACAGAGGCTGGCGGCAGTGAAGCAGATGGAATTGGCACAAGATCTGCAGAATGGCTGAAGGAATATACAACAACGCTGCAGCACAGCTTACTTGGTACGTACTGTCCTGTTTTATGGTGTTACGTGTGTCTGTTTGTTTGTGACGATGGTCCTTGCAGAAGACCACTTCAGCGATTTCGTCACTTCTGGAATGCGAGTGTCTAACCTGTATTAGCTTGTTGGACGCGTTTACATGCAGAGTGTAATCGGATTGCTACCGCATTATCTGGGTGCTTCAGCTCGATTAGAAAGAGTTTGCTTTCAGACAGACTAACGTGTTTACATGCATTTAAAAAAACTGACGTGACTTTTTAGGGCAATGCTTTGGTTTTCTGGTGGACATGTAAACACACTGAGATAAAGAGCTAAATAAGACTATGGGACATTAAAGTGACTATGAGGAAGTTTAACAACAACATGTATAGAAATGTAAAATGTCTTCCTCATACATTCTCCTGCTATGCCCTAGACATGAAGAACGATCCCTGGCATTTTTACTGTGATTGCCTCTCTATTCCTGTAAAATCACAGAAAAAGAGCATGTTCGAGTCAAACATGCTGCTGCAGATTCCTGCTTCTACTAGAGACGGCGCAGGCCTCAACCTGCAGTCTCTGGGTCTGCAGCCGTCAGGCCCTTTGGCCCTTCCTGCATTTGGCAAATACAGTCAGCGGGAGATTGAACTACAGTCCCGTTTAACTGGTTAGCTATGTACATCCCTACTGTAAAGGCATCAATAAAACACAGGAGGACTGATTAATGTGCATAGTAAATGATATTAAATGTCGGCCCCCTAATCAGAAGGTTGCAGATTCAAGCCCCACTCTGTTACAGTTGTTGTGCCCATGGGCAAGACTTCACCCACTTTCCCTGCTGGTTGTGGGGTTAGATAACTAGAAGGCTTTATTCAAATACAAGCCATTATTTTAGATTCCAATTCATAGCTGAGATAGACTGTTGAGTCCCACCACACAGAGACAGTAAAGTCATTCATTCAGTACCTGTGTCCATGCTGTCCAGAACCCTCGATGAATCAGTCCCAGCTGATGGATGATCCTGAAGTGGTAGCAGGTTTTCTTTAGCCGTGTTTAGCTAACAGCTGCAATAGAGACAAAGCAGGAGAGCTGATTAAGATGCTGCTTCAGAACAACGCAGGAGATTAAAGATCCAACGCTTTGGTTCTGATCAGCTGAGGACAGATCCAGTCTGGAAAAGAGGACCTTTGCTCACCAGAGTTCACGGAGTAGAGCTAACCTCTTTTTCCTCCAGAGTCACATTCAGATTCGGGCCTTTTCCGTCGGAGAGTGTGAGCAGGATGGATGAGAGAGCGAGCAGCGATCCTGCATCATGACCAACTCAGATGAGCGAGTCTGATAGAGGGAACCTCTTCAATCTGATGAAAGCAGCAAAACGAGCGCGTTTCTCAGAGAGGCCAAAGGAACAGCAACAGATCCAGAGGGCAGGAAGTCTAGAGAAAAGCTTTTCTGACCCATCACCTGCTTTTGGAGCTCCGATTGTCACGAAGACCGCAGAATATCTTCTCTGCTTCTGGAAAGAACTCCACCAAGTTGTTGAGGAGGAGAAGAAAGTTTCCACAGCCTGGTGAGAAGATTTCTGCAGCAGCAGCAGTTAGTCGCTTTAGCTGATCAACTCTCCCAGAGACTGAAGTGAAGACGTTTTTACTGCAGAGCCTCAAATGTTCTCCTCACACACAACAACAAGCTAGCTCTGCTAGCAGCTTTCGGTTTCTGCTTCTTCTGGTGGTCGGTGACCAGCGTAAAGGTGCACTAGCGCCACCTGCTGGCTAGATAAAAATTTATTTGGTTTCACGGACCTGTGTTCAGTATTTAAGATAGACCCCGCGTGACCACTACTGCCTGTGGGCGCTGACGAGCGGTGGCGCCGCCATCTTGGGTCGGTCTGAAGTGTCAGCATGTTAAATCAACCATAACTCCTTGAATTCTCAACCCATGTTGATGCAGTTTTTCCCTATAAACTTCACACATGGAGCTCTGATACAGGGCACATGTTTTAGCTGTTTAAATAACAGTGGGTTTGCGGTGGGTACATATGTGCCTCTTGTCCAGAGCTTAGGGTCAAAACTTATATAAAAAGAGGATCAATCACTAAAAATCAAACAATGAGAATCAAAATAATTTTTAAAACTCATACAACAAGTGTGTGACATCTATGGCAGTTATTTGAAAAAAACACACTTTAATATATGATAGAGAAGCAGAAACGACTACTCAGCCAACTAATTAACAATATAATTCTTATAGGTAACTAGTGTTTGTGTAATTCATGTACATATAGTGTCAAAGACCGGGTGAGACAGAACAACTAGAAGAAAATCTGGATGACAAGAACACGACAAACCATCCACCAGAACTGCAGATCTAGAAGCTGCTTCTTGTTCATCCTTTATTGTTTATTTTTGTGAACTCCCCCATCTCTTCCTTTCCTCTCCTCCATTCTTTCATCTCTGTCTCCGTGTCCTAAAAACAACCAAAAGCATCTCTAACAAAGTTGAGATATCAGGTGTAGGATTACAGCTGAATCTGTAACTCTCTACCTGTGAGAAGAACTCTGAGGCTCGTTTTCGGTTCTCAGACATCAGTTCTGGTGCTTTACAGCCAGACAGGACACGGGGAGAGATAAAGTAACCGACTGCTTAAAGGAGTTCATTTTATTTGTTTTGTCTTCATTTTTCTGTTACTTTTGTTGAGATGTTTTAAATAGTAACTGAAGCTTTACGTGAGCTATGTTACGTACACAAGTGGTCTATTTTTCACCATCTACTTCACCACAAGGTAACCTTTGATTTGAGGACATAAACCCACTTTCTATCTGGCCTCCAAACCCAGAAGGTTCTGCTCGGTGCTTGTTTACATACAAGGAGACAAAAACCCATCTCAATGCCACCCAAAGACCTCCTCACCCATCTCAATGCCACCCAAAGACCTCCTCACCCATCTCCACACCACTCAAAGACCTCCTCATGCACCCATCTCAATGCCACTCAAAGACCTCCTCACCAATCTTCACACCACTCAACGACCTCCTCACCCATCTCAATGCCACTCAAAGACCTCCTCACCCATCTCAATGCCACTCAAAGACCTCCTCACCCATCTCAATGCCACTCAAAGACCTCACGAATCTTCACACCAGACCTCCTCACGAATCTTCACACCACTCAAAGACCTCCTCACCAATCTTCACACCACTCAAAGACCTCCTCACCCATCTCAATGCCACTCAAAGACCTCCTCACCCATCTCAATGCCACCCAAAGACCTCCTCACCCATCTCAATGCCACCCAAAGACCTCCTCACCCATCGCAGCACCACTCAGAGACCTCCTCACCAATCTTCACACCACTCAAAGACCTCCTCACCAATCTTCACACCACTCAACGACCTCCTCACCCATCTCAATGCCACTCAAAGACCTCCTCACCCATCTCAATGCCACCCAAAGACCTCCTCACCCATCGCAGCACCACTCAGAGACCTCCTCACCAATCTTCACACCACTCAAAGACCTCCTCACGAAACTTCACACCACTCAAAGACCTCCTCACCCATCTCAATGCCACTCAAAGACCTCCTCACCCATCTCAATGCCACCCAAAGACCTCCTCACCCATCTCAACACCACTCAAAGACCTCCTCACCCATCTCCACACCACTCAAAGACCTCCTCACCCATCTCAATGCCACTCAAAGACCTCCTCACCAATCTTCACACCACTCAAAGACCTCCTCACCCATCTCAATGCCACCCAAAGACCTCCTCACCCATTTCCACACCACTCAAAGACCTCCTCACCCATCTCCACAACACTCAAAGACCTCCTCACCCATCTCAATGCCACTGAAAGACCTCCTCACCAATCTTCACACCACTCAAAGACCTCCTCACCCATCTCAATGCCACTCAAATACCTCCTCACCCATCTCAATGCCACCCAAAGACCTCCTCACCAATCTTCACACCACTCAAAGACCTCCTCACCCATCTCAACGCCACCCAAAGACCTCCTCACCAATCATCACACCACCCAAAGATCTCCTCACCCATCTCAATGCCACCCAAAGACCTCCTCTCCCATCGCAGCACCACTCAGAGACCTCCTCACCAATCTTCACACCACTCAAAGACCTCCTCACCAATCTTCACACCACTCAACGACCTCCTCACCCATCTCAATGCCACTCAAAGACCTCCTCACCAATCTTCACACCACTCAAAGACCTCCTCACCCATCTAAATGCCACTCAAATACCTCCTCACCCATCTCAATGCCACCCAAAGACCTCCTCACCCATCTCAATGCCACTCAAAGACCTCCTCACCAATCTTCACACCACTCAAAGACCTCCTCACCCATCTCAACGCCACTCAAAGACCTCCTCACCAATCATCACACCACCCAAAGACCTCCTCACCCATCTCCACACCACCCAAAGACCTCCTCACCCATCTCAATGCCACCCAAAGACCTCCTCACCCATCTCCACACCACCCTAACACCTTCTCACCGACAGAGCTCTCAAGTTAAAAGAAAAGTTCAGAGTGAGATTTCTGGGGATGAAGGAACTAAATAGTTTCTGCTTTGGCTGCTGCGGCTCCTCTACCTCGCTCTCTTTTCCCAACTGTTTTTGTTTATATTTTATTTTACATCCACCTTGCTACAAATAACCACAAAAACAATAACTATCTAATCCAGGGGTCGGCAGCCTGTTCCCATCAAAGAGCCGTTATTATTTGTTTCCCACAGAAAATGCTGGGAGCCGCAGCAGAGAGCTGCTTTAACCAATCACAGCAGCAGACAGCAGCCAATAACGGTCGCTCGTGTACGTCAAAGTTATCTGTCAACAGAAGATAAACAAAACTGTTTGTATAAAATAGATTCAGAAGTTGTCGCCAGTCTCTGCCTACAATATGTTGATATCTTTCACCCTGTTAGTGGTTTTACTGAGCAGGTGCCACTTTAGTCGCCATGTTTCTTTTTAAAACGTGTTTCAACTGTTCAGAATACAAATCCAGGCTCAGTCTCGCAGGGCCGTGCAGAGACCTTTGAAGGGGCGGGTGCTCAAAGTTAAAAAGGGGCAAAACCTTTAAACTGATTCACGATCCAACAAGTCTCAAAATTCAGATAATGAGACCCTTGGGTTCACACAACATAAAAACTAGAAAAAATAAATCATTTAGTGTCATTCATTGAAGTTAATGTTGATTCATAAATGATTGTTTTAGTTTTTAAAGCTGAATTCCATCTAGAGATGTTACAACCACATTTCTGCCCCTGATCCGAGTCCAAGTTTGATTTTTGATTATCTTCCAATACCGAGTCCCGTTCTGATACCAGTACCGAGTCCTGTTCTGATACCAGTACCGAGTCCCGTTCTGGTACCAGTACCGAGTCCTGTTCTGGTACCTGTTACAGACAACCACTCCCCACCCGTCAGGAAGAGAGAAGGTAGCAACTGGACAACCATACGAAATGACACTCCATGCACAAACGTCAGTTTATCACAGCTTTTATTGCTGTTCTGTTCATGTGGATGCTGCAGGTACCACTGCGGAGGAGGGGGAGACAGGGACAGTTAGGTGGAGCCAAAAGAATGAAAATAGATCCTATCTACCCTTCTAACTAAACAAAGGGATCAAACAAAAGCCTCAGCTATATTTCTCTGCAAAATAGATGGATCCAAAAACATTACAGGGGGCACCCACCTCCGTACCTAGTGTTTTTAACAAGTTTCTACTTCGTGATGAGGTGTTCAGGGATTCCCCAGCTTACCTTGTCCACAGTCTCCCTCCACCAAACCTTCAAACAAAAGCAGCTCCAGAACACAGGTGGGTTCATGAAGCAGCAGCATGTGGGAGGAAGAGTCTCCCTGCTCCTTCCTTGCTTTTTTTTTTCTTCTTTCGTTTAATTGGCGGGTGGCAACCAACTTTCAGTTGCATTTCCGTTACCTACTGAATGGGAGTGTTAGTCGAAGTGGGGAGTATCCTACTAAACAAACCTAAATTCTATCAAGTATTCCACTTTCCATTAAAAAGTCTATGGCTAACTTGTAAACCACTATTCCCCCATTTAACAGAATATTCAAATCATATTTCTTACATCCTTTAACTTTTAATTTTTCAACCAACATTTTCCTATTACCCACATATTTTCTACAAGTACATAATACATGTTCTACTGTTTCCCTATCAAGTCCACAGTCATACATACCGGTATTATGCCGTCCAAGAATAAAAAGCGTACTGTTCAAAGCTGTATGGCCCATTCTCATCCTTGTTATCACTTGATTTCTGTTACTCATTTGAATGACTTCCATTCCTCCAACCTTTCCCTTTAATTTGTACAAAATGTCTTCATTTCTTGTCCCTTATCCATTGTTCTTGCCATTCATCCACAATCTGCTGTCTAATAACTGGTTTCACCTCTGCAACACTATGTGGAACCTCCATCATAGTATCCAGTTTCGTTGCCTGCTTCGCATAATAATCAGCTATTTTCATAACCCTCTACTCCACTGTGAGCTGGAATCCACATAAATCTAACCTCTGAATTATTCTTCATCAACCTAAACAAGCACTCAAATATTTCATACAAAATATCTGACCTCTTATCGGCTGACATTTCTTTAATTGATAACAATACTGACATGGAGTCTGAGCAAATAATACTTTTCCTAACACCATTTTGTTCTATCCACTGTAAACTACATGAAATGGCTAACATTTTGTCATGTTCCTGAGCTGAGGTGAGCACTCTTTCCACAATAACCATCTCTGAGGAAATTTTCCACAGGTGAGGAGCGGAGGGAGCTGCAGGTGTGCCGAATCTCCAATCTGGAGGTCGGGTATGAAGGGAGGATGGAGACACCACACTACGCCGGATGATTGCACCTGTTAGGTAGCCCCAGCCTCTCGACTTCGTTTGCTCGTTTGCTTGTTAGAATTACAGTAAATATTGGATTTTTTGGCTCTGAACCCTGGACTGTTTTTTCTGGATTACGCTTTTGGATTTTCCTCTGAAACCTCTTTGTTCTGTTCAGGATACTCAACTCTACACACTACTCTCGCTGCTCGAACCCCAGAGTTCCAGAACCATGTCCCATCCTCCTCTTCAACGCCTGCTTGTTTAATCTTCGCTGCCTCATCCACCTCAGCCCGCTGTGTCACCACCTACACTCACCTAGGCTGACACCCTTTCTGCATATCTGGGACTATTAAATGGACTTTAGCCGAACGGCACACCCTCACTGGACCTTCCAATGCTCCTTTAGTCCCTGTTCTAAAATAAAAGGATTTTTCTTTACTCACCAATGAAGTCGTGTTGATTCTGCATGTCTTGGGTTAAACATCTCCCTCGAGAAATGAGGAGAACTGAATGGAGGGTTCAAATAAATCAGGAGAGGGAGGGGAGGAATGAGGTAAAGAGAGATGGATTCTATTGACCTTATCATTAAAAAACTGAAGGAGAGAGTTACAGGTTTCTGAAGAGTAAAGATGGATGGGTAAGGAGTCGGGAGGCTGAAAAATGCTGTTCATGATGGAAAATAAAGTCTTAGTGTTGCTGGAGTTGGACGAGATGAGACCGGAGTAATACTGTGATTTGGCATGGGAGATGGAGTCCTTGTAGAGAGAAATCTGAGCAGAATATAAGTCTTTATGTATGGTGAGACCAGTTTTCTTGTAGAGTCTTTCAAGCCTCCGGTTAGTAGCTTTCATGGAGCATAGGGCAGGGGTGAACCATGGAGCAGACCGAGTAAAATATACAGAGCGGGATTTGATGGGAGCAAATGAATTAAGGATAGAAACCAGACCGTTATTGTACTGAATGACAAGATCATCGGGAGTAGAGGACAAATTTGGGGTCAGGGTGGCAAAACTGGAGGACAGGGAGGCTAGATCAATGTCCTTAATATTACGAAATGAAATGATACGG